AATGTTCTCCTATTAAATACCCTATATGATTTTCTATTTAAAGAATAGCCTAAAAATATTGTTTCATCAACCTTAGAATCAAATTTTCCAAGGTTATCTTTACCATTGTTTAAAACATAACATTTGCAACCAAAAACTTTAAAATGAGAAATATTTGGTTTTCTACCTTTGAAAATTTCATAGGGAGTGAGTTTCAAAATAGGTCTTATTAAAATCCTATTTATCACATAACTTGCAGTTGACACAGCATCGGCCCAAAAATATTTTGGAAGATTATTTTCATTTAACATTGTTCTAGCTAATTCTTCCAAGGACCTATTTTTCCTCTCAACAAATCCATTTTGTTGTGGTGTTCTTGGGGAAGAAAAATTATGTGTTATGCCTAAATCTTCACAAAAGTTTTCAAAAAACTCATTTTGAAATTCACCACCATGATCACTTCTAATTGATTTTATATTCAAATCTTTCTCATTTTGAATAGCCTTAGCAAATTTCTTAAAAGTCTTCAAAGCATCATTTTTAGTTGCCAAAAAGAAAGTCCAAGTGAACCTATAATAATCATCTATAATAACTAGTGCATAATAATTACCACCTAGGCTTCTTGTTCTAGAGAGTCCAAATAAGTCCATGTGCAATAATTCTAAAGGCTATGATGTAGAGATAATATTTTTACTCTTAAAAGAGGTTTTAGTTTGCTTTCCTTTTTGGCATGCCGCACAAATTTTATCTTTGTTAAAACTTAACTTAGGCAGGCCAATCACTAAATTTTTTGAAATTAATTTATTTAAATGATGCATGTGAATGTGTGCAGCTCTCCTGTGCCATAACCACAGATCTTCATTCTTAGAAACAAGATAGGAGATAGACCTAGGAATTGTGATGTCAAGATAAATTACATAGATAATGTTAAGACGCATACCTTTCAAAACAGTTTTTTGGGTGTTGTCCTTCACTATGTTGCACACAGTTGATTCAAAGATAACTTTCAATCCTTTGTCACATAGCTGGTTGATGCTCAGAAGGTTGTGTTTTAATCCTTCTACAAGTAACACGTCTTGAATCATGAAGTTGTTGCTTACCTGTATTTGTCCTGATCCAAGAATTTTTCCCTTTTTGTTATCACCATATGTCACATGTCCTTGACTCTTCTTTGTGAAGCTTTCAAACTTGTTCTTGTCACCAATCATGTGCCTGGAGCATTCGCTATCAAGAAACCAGATCGATTTCTTATCCTGTGATGAGGCTTTATCATTACTTTTTGTCATCGAGCAAAGATTTGCTTCTTCTTCTCCATCACTGCTTTCAGAAGAACTCTCTTGTGTTGTGGAAGAATAATTATCCTCCCAAGCAATATAAGTTTTGCATTTGCTCTTATAGATATCGTTCTTCTCTTTCTTCTTTTCTTTCTTAAGTTTCGGACAGTCTAGTTTGATATGGCCAAGCTTTCCACATCCATATCACTTGTACCTATTGATTTTCTCTGCTGTCTCTTTTTCCTGTTCTTCCTAAAACGAGAAAACTTTTTAGCAAAAAGAGATATATCGGAATTCAAAAACTTACCTTCATTTTTGCTTTCATCTTGTGAAGATTTTTCTGCTTTTAGAGCTATCGTCTTGGTTTGATTTTGTTTACCATTCTTTAACATTTGTAACTTCATCTCATGTTCTCGCAGTTTTTCAAATAGAGTAGCAATATTCATTTCTGTGAGTTCTTTTGATTCTGCAATAGCAGTGACCTTTGGTTGCCAATTCTTGTCTAAGGATTTCAAGATCTTTGTATTCAACTCCTCATTATTAAAACTCTTTCCTAATGCTTTCAAGTGATTTACTATATGTGTGAAGCGTGTCTGGAAATCCGTGATGCTTTCATTTTGCTGCATTTGAAACAATTCATACTCCTGGATGAGTGTGTTCTTACGTGCTCACTTTACTTCATTTGTTCCTTCATGTGTTACTTCAAGAGTGTCTCATATTTCTTTTGTCGTCTTGCATTGTGAGATCCTGAAAAATTTATAACGAGTTAAGGCAGAAACAATAGCATTTCGGGCTCTTACATCACAATGGGCACGCTTATTTTCATCCGGCGTCCTTTGGTAAAAATTCTTTGGATCAACTCCAAATTCTGTTAATCTCATCGGAATGTAGGGACCATTGAGTACAACATCTCAAACACTGTAATCTAGTGTTTGTAAAAATATTTTCATTCTTGCTTTCCAAAACTGATAAACATCTCCTTCAAATAGTGATGGTCTGTTTATTGAGGCTCATTCCCTGTAAACCTGATTCTGCATAGACATCTTGACAGATCTTTTAGAAATAATTTATCTAACCAAGCTCTGATACCACTTATTAGACAAATGACATCTAGAGCAGGGTGAATAGATGTACAAATTAAAATAGATGCCAAATTAAAAATTTATTTTAAGATGTCTAATAATTTATTAATTCAATTTTAATTATCAAATTGAACACAGATAAAGCGGAAGCGATATAATCAAATAGATAAAGGGAAAGATTATAAAGAGAAGGACAATATAGGGAAGAGAAGATCACACAGAGATTTATACTGGTTCGGGTATAGTCAACCCTACACCTTGTTCTCAGTCAACTCTTAACACAAGAGTAACCCCAATTCACTATCTTTTAAATTCAGTTCAAAAATTACAATCAATTCAGCAAAAAGTAAACTAATTCAAAAGATAATCACCTCCTTAGAAACCCACTAAGGATGAACTCCTCCCTAGAATCCCACTAGGGATGAACACCTTCTCTGAACAAATCAAAGGATGAACACACCTCCTTAGAATCCCACTAAGGATGAACACCTCCTTAGAATCACACTAGGGATGAAAACCTCCTCTGAACAAATCAAAGGATGAACACACCTCCTTAGAATCCCACTAAAGATGAACACCTCCTTAGAATCACAATAGGGATGAAAACCTCCTCTGAACAAATCAAAGGATGAACACACCTCCTTAGAATCCCACTAAGGATGAATACCTCCCTAGAATCACACTAGGGATGAAAAACACCTCATTTGTCACCAATACACAAAGGATGAACATCTCCCTAGAATCACACTAGGGATGAACACCTCCTCTGAATAAATCAAAGGATGAATAACACAATTGATTAACTTAAACATCTTAAACCCACAAAGGATGAAAGAGTAAGATAAGAACATTCATACACAAATGATGAAGGTAATAAAAATAAGAACAGTCACACCTGGGTAAAGGTGACAACAAATTGTAAAAGTCTGTAGAATGCCAACCTCCAAGAACAAGTGTGATTAACAATGAAAGCACAATAGGCAATATGTTAGAATCGCGCAGTGGAATGTTTGCGTTTCCGGACAAAAACCAAGAGGGGGGTGAATTGGTTTCTTAACAAAAATTAGAGTTTTAAAAATTTCTCCAAATTTCACCGATTAAAATGTTGTGTAAAGTAAATAGAGCAAGGATAGAGTATTACACAGATGATTTATACTGGTTCGGATCAAAAGACCATACGTCCAGTTGCTAATCACTTAAACAGAGGATTAACGTTGTCACTATAATCACAGTTATACAATCAGATTACAAATAAGAAGATAAGGTAAAGAGTACACCTCTCTTGAGTCACACAAGAGATGAACACCTCCTTTGAGTCCCACAAAGGATGAAGAACAAATTTCCCTAGAGACGGCACAGCACACAATCCACCAAGAAAACCCACTTAGTGATTCTTATCGCTTCTAGCCCACACTAGGTTCCAAAAACCCCTTTTTCCTCCAACAAACAGTTCTCTGACAGTCACAGCTCTCAACTTTTTTTTGAAAAAGGTTGTTCACTTTGCAGAGAACCTTAAGTAGAGAGATTAGGGTTTGGGAATTCGGGATTTTCGAAAATAGATGAATTGGGAATAGGGTTTTCGAAACTTGGTCCAATTTTGAACTTCAAAACACATATCTGACTGAAATAATCAATTAACTTGAGTGTTAATCGATTATTCTAGAGTCAAATTCACCTGGAACCCAAAACCACTCAATTTAATCGATTAACTAAGCAATTAATCGATTAACAGCCCTGTTAATCGATTAACAGAGACTTTAATCGATTATTCCAGAGAGCATATGCTGAAAATGGGTTTTCTCTCTGTAATAATCAATTATCCTGCCATTTAATCAATTAATCCAGTATTTTTTTGATAAAAATGAGTTTTTAGAACATTTAAAGAGTAGACTATGTGCTGGCTATCTTAGACTCTAATATTACAGACTCAAAATCATAAAAACAGAGTTATTACATAATATTATAAGTCTTCAAATCTTTAAGTACTTTGTTCTTGAATCATCATCAAAATCAACAATCTTCATATTCATATATGTTCAATATTCATATCCTTGTATGTTTCAACACAATGGAGAAGAGGATTTTCTCAAAACATGTAAGATATCTTTGTTGCCTTGCTCAGAATTCTTTTCTCAAAACTGATTGAATGTAAATTATATTTTCGAATTCTGTAATTGTGTGTTTTTTATTTTCTATCAAAACTTAATTAAATAGAAAAATAACATCATAAAATGGTCGTTGAACATTAATATTTTCGTGGATAAAAATTAGGATATATTAAAAAACATTTATTCTTCAAAACAGATATATTTTTCAAATTATGACAGAGAAAATCATTTTTCCATTTCTGATGTATCATAATTGATTATGACAGTGAAAAAATATCATGTTACGAAATTTTATCACACTTGTACTTTGGAGACTTATGCATAATACCACTTCATCAACTTGTACCTCCATATCCAGTATTCTAAGACTCTATCTAATCTTCAGGAATCATCTTGGGCTTGCTTGTCTTTATCAAAATCATATCTTGGGCATGTAGAGAAATGTTTTACATTGTCACCACGTCTTTAATTCAGCTTGTCCTTAATTCAATTCATCTTGAATGGTGCTGACTTGAATGTAGTTAACTTGAATCATCATCTCTTGGGAATGTAAGGACATTTCCATCAATCTCCCCCTCATTGCTTTCAATGGTGAGCAGCGATAATATCTGTATTGTGACCCATTTGTGCTTGTGGAGTATCTTTTGCATTTGGGTTATCTTTTGCATGATTGAAGTTAGTGCTCTAAGTATTTATTCTTTTATTGAAATTAAAGTTGTGATTATTTTTGTGGGTCTGAATCATGATAATTAATAAATATCTCCATAGAATAATTGTTGTTGAAGGTTATTTGAAATTATAATTTTTAGTGTTTAATTTTAAAATGATTTTCTAAATTTAAAACTTATTTTTTTATACCATATGAATATTATGGTGTATTTTAGCTTTTAAAGTTTAGTCATTAATTAGTTTATTTAAAATTTTAGGGATTAAATTATAAGTATTTTTGTGTTTACGAAAATTATTTAAATTCACATACTACTTTAATAGTATGCTAATCTACGGATTAAATCCACAGAACACGTTGATTTAATAAATTTGATATGTAAATTAACTATAATTATGCATATTTAATAAATAAAAAATCAATATTCGTGAGGTTGGTGAACTTAACCTAGTGATTCCATATTTGAATTTGTATCCACCTTTACTAGACTTAACTAATATTAAATTGTGATTTGTTTGATGAAATAATATTGGTCAAATTTTTTTTTATGATTTCTAAAGATTAAAATGTTTAAATACTTTATTTTATTTTTATTGTATGTTGGACAAATGCCTAGATTCAAACCTTACAAACTTCTTCTAAATGATTTTAAGTAATAAAAAAAATTATTTATGCGGACCTAATTTCACATGCTACATGAAAAAAAACCACTATTTAATATGAACGACTCAAAAATTTAGTTCAATAATATACAAAATAAATGAAATAAGGTTGAGTTTATAGACAATAAAAAAAGACAAAACTTCTAACTTGATTTGTTCACTATTTACCTACTAAATCATATTATGATATATGTCAGGTTGTATTTGATTTGATTGTTTAATTTAACTACTAAATCCATAGGAGACAATTCAATTATTTTATTTTTATTTTTAAACTTTTGTAATTTCAAAAGTTGTCTACTTTTTGTTAATAATTATTAAAGGGATAAGTTCTATTAGAATATGTAGTTTAGTACATTAATATTGAAACTTTGATAATGAAAGGAGAAGTAAGTGAGTACACTTGGATTCAAGAGGTAGGATTAGAATAATATTATGGAAAAACATGATCCGTTATATAATTTACTTTTCTATTAATTAGGGATACAAAATACAAATTATAATTTAGATTAGTTTTTAAGTAATTATTATTACAAAATATTTTTAAAATAATAACAATTTATTTTATCTATCACAACTCTCAGTTGAAACGAGAAATATTAGTAACATTTATACTATTCCAAAAATAATCAAAGAATATGCGTGGAAAGACTTTAATAAAAAATTAGAAAAATCTAAATCCATGAATCTTGAGAAAGAACTGAGGAAATTTTGTCTAAATTTTACTAAGAAGATTTATTTCACGACTAAGTTTGAGTTATAGACTTGAAAATTCAGCTACTAACTGAATACAAATTCTAGGGGAAAAAAAAGGTTGAGCGAATTTATTCAAAAAAAATTGGAAATATAAATCGATTTTTGAAAGAACTTGGAACATCTTTAAACAACTTATTAATAATAATAATAATAATAAGAGTTCTTTAAGAGTAAAAATGGTATTGAATTACTTAAAATTAAAGAAAATTATCTAAAATTGAAAAAAATAATAATTAACTTTTACTAAATTTAAAACGATTGATATATAAATTCTATAATAAAATATTTTTCTTTATTTCTAAATAACTTTTATTAACAAGTACTATTAAAGCTATTATTGTGGAGTCCTTGATGAAAAAGAAAGTTCAAATCACATACAGAATTACCTTGGGAGAAATTTAAAAAGCTCGGGGATAAAAATGTTGACAAGACTTTGATCGTTAAATTATCCCATTCGGTATGAGTAGCTAAACTTTTTTTTCTTTTTAGAATTTATAATAACCAACATTTTTATTTACATATACTTTGATTTATATTTATTTATAAATTCATATATATATATATATATATATATATATATATATATATTATTTATGCTAGTGAGTCAATTTTAATTCAATAATAATATTTTTAAAATTGGATTTATCATTAAATCAATATTTCATTAATAAGAATATTTTTCTATATAAAAAAGAAAATAATAAAACTTATTATTTGATTATCATAATGAAAATTGTAAATATAAAATATATTAAAAAATATAAGATGAATGATTGTTAATATAAAATAATTATTATTTAAAATTAATATAATTAATATAAAAAATTAAAATATATTATATATTTATAAATTATATTTTAAAAATTTATTTATTTTATTGAAATCGATTCCATCTAAAAATTTAATTATTTTTTAAAATTTTATTCTCCATTTATTAAAATCTGATTATGAATTTAGATATAAAATACAGTTTGTATCTTCCGGTGAACTTGTTTACACTGACGAGTTAATTACTCGAATGGTATAAAATATATTGTTAGTTTTAATGTAAGTTTATTTATTACATATTAAAAATAAAACGATTTTTGTTGTAAATGGTGTTTGGATGATGTAATTGAATTGAATAATTTATTTATTTAATAGATTAAAATTTTTAAAATGAAAAATTCATAATTTTGAAAGGTAATTAAAATAAAAGAAAATAAAATATATTTAAAAAATAAAAAAATTGAAATTTCACGCATGAATGTTAAGTTGACGTTCACTCACTCTCTCACAATCTATGCTTTCACTCTCCATTGTCCTCTCCTGGCTCTCACTCTCAAATGTTGTATAGGATAACCCTCTCTTCTTCTGTTCTTCACTTTCACAATCTATACTTACAAGTGAATAATATTTATTTCTAATAAATTTTTGTATTTTAAAATGAGATTTTATTTTAGAAAAAAATTCAATTATTTATATCCAAATAAAATCTCTTCCAAACAAAATATTTTTAAAATGAAGGTCATTCAATTAATGCAATTCATATATAATATATTTGAATTTCTTGAAATTAATAAAGAAATCTCTCATTTAGAGAACATTCCTTGTTGCTAATCTTGATATACTTTCTAATTAAAATTATTAGGAGAAAAAAATAATGTATACTTGTTGAAAAAATTATTATGAATGTTCAAGATTCAATTATCGAGTAAATATTTTTAGTTTTATTATAATATAAAATTTTCTTTATTATATTATATTTTATATGATATAACAGATAAAATCTTTTATTCTACTTTAAGATTTGTTATTATAATAAAAATTATGATAATAAAAAAATAAATATTTTATAATTATAATTTAAATCATTTCGAAGAAAATAAATATTTTTCTTTTTAATTGTTTGATAAATTATTTATTATGTTTTGATTCTTGACACCCAATAATAGTTATACTATATTCTAGAGTTAGTTCAAAATTTATGAGATGAGAGAAAATATTGTATATTTTTCTAATTGATTCTTGAAGGTAAGATATGTATTATTTCACTTTACTTCGACGTTGATCAGTATGGCTAGATGTTTATCTTAATTAGTATATTAATTTGATTAATATAATATTAATTTAGGATTGAACATACAACGATATATACAAATAAGTGTTCTAATATTTATTGAAAAAATAATTTTAATATTTGATAATTACATTAAAAAATTTAATATAATCAAATAATGAGCATTTGTACGTAGAATATTATTATATTTTCTGCTAGTATTGAAAATAAAAATAATATATTCAAAACATTTAAAAATTTTAAGTTAGAGAAAATATTCATTGAGATTTGACTGAAATCAATTTGATCTCATAAAATAATAAGAAAAGTTGACAATGATAATTTCTATTTTTTCATTGTGCTATAAATTTGACCCTAGGGTTCCACATTTCAATATAACATTTTATTACTTATCTCTTTTTTCTTCTTCTTTCTCATAGTTTGTTAGTAGCAAATATTTTAGAGATGGTCTCTATTCTTGTTATAGTTCTTATAACAAAAGTTAGTGTTGATGTGAATGTATAGAGTTCTCACATAATTGAAAATTTTCTTTGAATACTTTAAAGATTGATCTACCGGTAAATTATAAAATATATCCTTATTTTTCTATTGTGTATTATGAACATGTATATATTTTTTAATAACACATTAAAATATTGAAGGCTTTTCGAAATATATGTTTTTTTATACAATATTATTATTAATACAAACAGTTTTTCCAACTGCGAAAAGAATTTTGTCCAAAATTAAAATTACATAATCCTATATATGATAAAAAATATTAGAAGATAAGTTAGATGAATTTAGCCATGTTATATATTAAGAATAAAATATTATTAATTATTTCATTATAAAACATTAACAAATGATTTTGTATTTTCAAAACTAAAAGGATAATACAAAGATAACTAATTTGTATGATATTAAATTTCTTTTAATTTTTTTTATCAAGCTCCACATCTTCTATAGATGAACTTATATTTATATAACTATATTTATAATTGATCTATATGGAATCATATAACTATTCAATTAAACAGAACTAAACATGTTGTTAAATTAGGAAAGAAAATGATTGGAAAATATTATGAAACTCAAAAGATAATAATGGTGGGTTCTGCAGGAGAATTATTGTATAAATACTAAATTATTATTTTGGTTTACAACCCATTAATATAACTAAAATGTCATACATATATATAACATTTTTTTAATTAAATCAATAACAGTAAAATTATAATAAATATATAATTGCAAATAATTTATTGTTGTCATAAATTATGTTGGCATCTCTTTTAAATTGATGTTAGTAGATCTATAAGTATAAATTTGGTAAGTAAATAATTGTGTCGCTAACATGTAAATACTTTAATAAAATTATATATCAATTATTTGAGCATATATTAAAACATGGAGAGTGATATTTTTTAATCGTATGCTTTTCGAATTAAGTGACAATCATGTTATGCTTTGTTATCTCATGATTAAGTCATCTCATGAAAAGTAAGATTTGTTCTAATTTGTCGCACTAGTATTGACAACATATAATGATGTAGGTTGTGTTTGATAAAGTCAGACTTTGTTAGAAGACCTATAACCATATTATTTCAAAACAAGTAGCAGACGTTACATGATATTATGCTTCATTAGATGATTTTGAGACTCTATATCATTTCTTATGTGTCCAAGAAATAAGATAATTTTCTAGAAACAAACACCAAGTAGATTTTCTTGCATCTAGACAACCTACCAATCTACATCACAATATGTTTGAAGTTGGGAAGATGAGTCAATAAGAAAAAATAAACCATCCTTTGAGGTCTCAAGATGATATTATTGCATGAACTTACTATCAATGTGTACATCAAATAAAATAGTTGGTCGAGTGATAATCATAAACATAAAACTTCTAACTAATTTTGGATATAAAATGTAATAATTAAGAAGCACACATTCATCTCATTTATATTTAACATTAACTTTCATTGAAGTATCAAGAACGATAACATTGTGAGTCAAACTAGTTAGACAAAATCCTGAATATATTTTTACTAATTCAAAAAAATATCTTGGGATTGATAATGCACCTCTAAACCCAATAAATAAGTGAGAGATTTTCTAAATCTTTTGCGTAAATTGTTGAATGCAATAATTGTTTGATTTTAGAAATATCTCTTTATCATAATCACTCCCTACGTGTCATTCACATAAACAAAAAGTATCACAATGTCTTTAAATATCTATTGGAGAAAAAGTGATGGATCCTATTGACTTTGATTTATTGAAAAACCACATAATGAACAAAAATTTTCAAACCATACTCTTAGAGCTTAGATTAATCCATCTAAAGATCATTTCATTTTGCAAACCATATTTGATATAATCATTCTCTATGAGATCACCGTGTAGAAAAACATTTTTTACGTCTAATTTATGTAATAGTCTTAATTGTGATGTAATAAGAACAAAGATAATGTGTGTAGACATTTATGTAATTAGAGCAAAAATCTCATCATAGTTGAGATTATATTCTTATTTATTTACAAGAACAACTAGTCGAGCATTATAACAACTAATAGAGTAATCTAACCGTAATTTTAGATAGAATACAAACTTTCTACTAAAATATTTAACATATGAAAGAGAAGGAACTGTGTATCCCATATGTGGTTCTCTTTTATGGCAAAAGGTTAATATTCTACAAATTTTATCCAACATTCATTATGTATGTCCCCGATATAAGAAAAAGGAATAGAAATATATGATATTGTTGCATTCAAGAAACAAACAACCTTTATGTGGGTTTATGAATATGTGAGCTATGTTGCAAAGTAACTAGTTCTTGTGTGAGATCAATGTCCATGAAATTATCTCTCGAGAGCCATGAGATTCACTTGATAGACTTTAAGAGGTAACATTATGTCTTTTGTAAGTTAAAGGGGTTTTAGATGATGATTGACATGCAAAAGAGTTAGAAAATAATGATTAAATGGACACTCAAGAAGATAAAAGTCCATGATGTGTTGCAAAAAAATATGTATGTTTTAGGAAGATTACATTCCTAAATACCTAAATCCTACTAAGAGTGGGATCATAATATAAAACCCTTTAGATGAGGAGAGTATCCCAGAAAAGCACATGCAATAAATTGTATATTAATTTTGTTGCATTCTTCTAAAGGAAAATACACATAACACATACAACCAAACCAAATAACTTAATGAATGGTGATTCATTACCTATTGAAGAAGATGACAATCAGTTTTAAGATGAACTACTGTAGATATTCACACCAAATCATGAAGACACATGTGAATCTAATAAAAATGTTTGAACAACATCAAACAAATGATGATTTATTTTATTTAGTTATCTCATTTTGTTGAGGAGTTGAAGGGGCATTACTTTGAGATATAATATCATTTTATTACAAAAATGATTGAAAATAATTTTGATGTGTAGTCTCTCCATTATCAAAACAAAGAACCTTAATTCTACTGAACAAGCCTAAAAAAGGATGATCCACTAAGGAAGAAACCTTGTCTTTAGTGTCAAACTCTAGATGATGTTTGCAAAAGAGGAAAGTTCACTAGCAAAAATACTCTTATTCTACTTGAGTTAGAATCAATAAGAGGAGAATAACTACTAGGGAACACAAATACACTATCTTGTACACGAGCAAATTTACAAGACAAAAGTAAATAACAAGACCACAAATAATTAATGTGGTTCAATCAAAATGACATACATTCATAGTTGCACTAAATGGCAGTTCTTATTTGCTTAATTACGTTTATAATTACATGAATATTCATAATAAAAGAGAGTAAGTAAATGAGTCAGACTCAATAATCCTTCAGACTCCACATGCTTAACAATCTCCCACTTGGAGGTTGATCACAACAAGTACACTCCAAAGTAAATTTAGTAACCTCAAAGTTATAACACCTCAAAGTTATAACACCTCCAAGCTAGTGTAATATCTTCTTAACAATTAACCATGAAGATCAGATGAAACTATGCAAAACTTCAACTTTTTAGTAGTAACTATCTTGGTCAATATATTTGCATGATTCTCTGACTCAAGAATCTTCTCCAAAAACAAAGTATCATCACTTATTGTTAGAAATAGAGGCTGAGATCAAGAGGGGGGGTGAATTGATCTTTGAAAGATTTTCGCAATTAACAGATTATCTATTTCAAAGATTAAGAAATCTGACCAGTTTTTGAATCATACACAGCAAGCAATAAAAAATAAATGCAATCACAAAATTAAAGAAGAGAAAGGTTTAGAAAGATATCACCAAAGTTTATACTGGTTCACCCAATCTCAGGGCTACGTCCAGTCTCTAGCCAAATTCCATCTGGGTTCCACTAGATTGAATGTTTTACAGATTACAACCTTAATCACACACTCCATCTACCACAAGAACCACAATTCCAGTTCCTGCACCTAACCTTTCACCAAGAACCAAATTCCAGTTCTTGACCTACCCTGCAGCCAAATTCCAGCTACAGAAACCAGTGCCCACAATTCCAGGCACTCACAATATAGTAAAAGAAAGTAAAGAAACAAACAGAAGAAACTAAAACGCTCAAACCAGTTTTATGCAGTTCTGCAATATGTGTTTCTTCAAAAGAATGCAATTTTGCCTCAAGAAAGAACTTTGATGAACTTCACAAAAACTAGCGTGATTCTTTCTTGAAAGTAGCACTTTAGATTGCTTGATTGTTTGCCAAAAGATGTATTTCAGATTGATTTATAAAAAGTTCAAGCAACTCTGTTTATATAGAAGATTTTCAAAACTGCTGGTTTAATTAATCTGTTAAAATAATCTTTTAATCTGTTGAAAGTTTTGTTTTAATCTGTTAAATCTTCTTTTAATCCATTAAAACGTTTTTTATTATTTTCCAGATTTGTTTTAACTGATATGACAACGTTTATATCAATTAAAACTCTTTGTAAAAAAATCTTCTAATTTGTTTTAATCGATTGTTTCGTGTTTCAATCGATTAAAATACTGCAAAACTTTCTTGTAAACTTTTCCAAGTGATTTTAACTGATAAAAATCTGTTTTAATCGATTAAAATGCTAAGCAGAAATTTTCTTAAGTTGATTTAATCGATTGAAACGCAGTTTAATCGATTGAAATAATTCTGATCGGTCATAACTCAATTCTGATCGGTCATAAACCCATTTTGATCGGTCATCTGCTACTCCAAGTGGTTTTAATCGATTGAAACGAAGTTGTATCGATTAAAATACTGCCAGAACACTTCTCTGAACATTTTAAGTGATTTTAATCGGTTATTTCGAAACTGTATCAGTTAAAATATTGACTGAAGGTTTTCAAAACTTCCTTTAATGAAAACAATCGGTTATTTCGAAGTTATATCAGTTAAAAACCTGTTATAAAAGTGTGAAGAACATTTTAGTTGATAAAGCTTATATGTTATTAGTTAAAATAGTTGATTAAGAAAGCTTTTATCAAAATACTTTGGTTTTGACCGTTTAATCGCTTTTAGAGGCATTTTGCAAAATGTTTTAAGTGAAGAAACCTCATGCAGCAGAAAAGATAAAAATGATTATACCTAAGCAGAGCTGCAGACACACTAATTCTTCTACTCTTTTATCCAAGTGACCTTTAACTGTCACAAAGTTGCCTTTGACTTCATTCTTGACTTCATCAAATCAACAAGATCTTTGTCAACGTAATTCAAT